AAGCAGCTATTAGTCAAAGAACGCAGCTCGGCTCCGTGCCTTTTCAAAATAAAGTAGAGTCAGAAACCCGATGAGTCACGTGACTCGAGCAGAATTACAAAATCTAAACCTCACTGATGGGAGTTGAACAATGGACCGAGAGCCAGATGAGGTTGAGGTTATAGATATCTCGTTTGGCTGGGAGGAAAACGCTGCTGAACCTGCTTCCCCCCCCCGACCGGCCCCCGAACAAGAACGTGTTGATTCAGAAATGTCGACATCCATCGTATTATGTTGAATGAAAACACTTGACGCTCCTTCCTTCGTACTCAGCTATCGGAAGAACATCTTTTATGGCCAGCAGGCCAATGGTGTCTTCCAACGGTTGCCTGAGCGCCCCACGGATCTACTTCTTATCAGCAGTAAAACGCTATGACCAACTCAAGCAATGGGAATACGAAAACAGTTTAAAATCACGGCTCGGGCTGAAGAGACACTCTTTAACAAAAGTGAAGTTTGATGGTTTCGCCCCGTCAAAGCGCATCGCTCACCGGTGATGTTCAAAAAAGCATCACGTGCTCGTGTTATTGCCATTTTTATCTGTTCCACTCGCAATAATAACTGACAGACCAAAAACAAAGGCAAAGACAAATCCTTTGTCCGGAGACACATTCTGTTCTGTGTATTCCCAAACAAGAGCGCACGCACACACACACGCACACACGCACACACACACACACACACACACACTTTCGTTTTTCAGGCAGGAATTCATATCCTTTTGTGTTTTTTTGCCTTGATACCTAATGGAATGACATTGACATTTCCCCCCAGCTATTTCACACACGCGCGTCAGCGTAACAATGCAAACAAAAGCAGCGCATCCTTGAAGCGGAATCTGGAGGCTCAGCCGACGTTGCTCTCTGGCTTCTTTCTAAATTAAAAAAAATGAAAAATAACCATTTGAATGTTGATTCCAGAGCTCTCTGAATCCCAGAGCTCTGCGTCTATTCATCACAGAGGCCGGCTTTTGTTGCCTGGCGTTTTATCCGGGGCAAATTCCTCAAAATGTTGAGAGCTGTTTATTAAAGGGACAATGATCAATAATGACGGATGTTGTAATTATAGGCCAATATCAGCGCCGTTTGACGTGGAATTTTAAGCAGGCCGAGAGGGAAAAAAAAACCCTCCCACTCGCTACTCCATCAACAGCGTGTTCGTCTCCTGCGGCATTTCTCTGTCTAATTAATCTTCATTTCCAGGACTGATCCGTCTCACTAATGCACTTTTATCATTGCTCACTGTTCATACACTACGCAACTAGGAAAAAACACTCGCCGCTGCACCTGCAGCCGGCGCCGCGTGTTTGTTCTGCGCGCTCGTGCAACAGTGAATAATTGATGTTGCTGTGCGGTGATTGCTGAGCGTCTCTCCATTCACGACGCTTACTGACGCTTCTCGCCTCCGCCGGCTCATCTGTTGCCGTATTTTTCAAAGCACAGGAGCCGCGGTGCTCGTCTCAATGGGCCCTATCCTGTTAAATACACTACATGTTAGATGTAGCAGAGTCACCACTCTGACAGGCCTGCTGTAGTTGATTGAACCATCACATGCCATCCACATCTGGAGCCTGATCTGTGCCGAAGTAGACACGGTTAAAGGCGTTCGCCGCATGCGTGTGCCAGATTTCATTTATTCAAGTGCAGTCAAACTCATGCAGAGATCGCTGAAGAGACTCAAAAGAATGTCTCCGAGTAATTCCTTAAGAGAAATGTGTCATTAAACTTGTATAAATGAAGGAAACTAGATTCTTATCATGGAGTTTTGTTTCTGCACACACGGCCTGATTTCACATTTTATTTATTATAAGCATATTTTATTTTTAGTTCTTGAGTTATAACTTTAAATGTTTGTTTCAATTGTCAAAACATTTTATTTAATAACTTGGGGGATCAACGCATTGCTCAAGGACACTTGCCCATGTGGATGGTAGGAGGCAGGAGTCAAACCACAAACCAACCAACCAAATGACTTGGGTTGACGTGAAGAAGAGATGAAGCCCGTGGTTCTCCTGACTGAAGGGGGACGGCAGAGATTTCCAACTCCGACGCAACCCTAAAGTAGAGAGAAAGAATCAGGCTGTAACTGAAAAATACTTCTTCTTTTGACAGATGGATGGAAATCGCCGCGCACTAGAATTCTCCATAGAGGGAAGGGAGTTGGATGGTTATAATAATTGGGTCCGTTGTTGCTGCGAAATATTGATTGAAGCACTTCAACGTTAATGTTAGTGTGCTGGATTCGTCGAGGTCGCTCCCCACAGAACACTGGGGCCAGATTGGCGTTGATGTATTTGATGATCACTTTTCGTTTAAAGTGTAAATGTTGCTCTCGCTGCTCGGCATCTGCTTGTTGTCTAGTTCGCCATCTGTGTTTCCACAATTTGTGACTGTAGAGTGGCATAAACTGAGGCCCTCCAAAACAAATGTCACATTCCCTCCTCATAATAACCGGCAGCTTGATGTGACAGTTTTTTTCCTTCGAGATGCCTTCACGAAGTTTTCATCACTAAAGAACACCGGTAAGTGGATCCTTCTCTTTGACTGAAGACACAATACGACAATACGATAATTCAAGGGCATTGATTTCGTCTTCAGTGTCACACAGTTCAGAGCTTAATCTATTCTTTGGGAGGCCAAAAAGAAACATGTAACATGTGTGCAGATCAATTAAAGTCTACATCCATGCTGGTAGCTCTGTGATTAGCATGGAGGTACATTTGGGCTAAACGCTAACATTAGCACGCTAACATGTCTAAGATGACGCTGCTGACATCCTGATGTTTAGCCGTAGAAGTGTTTGCCGTGTTGACTGTGTCAGTGTAGCGTGTTAGCATGCTAACATTTGCTAATCAGCGGACTATTTCTCTATATATAAGTGAAAGAAATATGTATGTGGTTGTGTCAGTATTTCATAATGAAACGAGCAACAATGAGAAGCAGTATTTCTGTTTTTTTTTTAAAGTAACAAGTTTTCCAGTTCAGCCAAATCATAAATAAAAGGAAACTTTTAAGATATATAGCCTCTTTTAAAAAAGAAGAGACAATAAACACGTAAACTCCAATCTGTAGATGTAGCTATTTTATTCCACGCACATCTCTGCCTTCATTTGTTGTGGTGGTCTGTAAAAGTGGGAGGTATCTCCCAGAAGAAAAATGTCCTCTACACATTTTAGGGGGGGTGTGTATCATTGATTCTTGCTGGACAGGCTCTCTGACGATCTTCAGCTGTTAGCGATCAATGCCCACTGTGACCTTTGACCTGCGGTGCATCATTATAACTCCTCCGAACCACCTCCCACAGCTGGAAGCCAGCTCCAGCGCATTGATCTCTCGCTTTGCCGCAGCCGCGTCCCCTCCACGTCGCTTCTGCACGAACACACGTTTTTCCTCCGTGAAAACCAACTCCAGCACTTGCGTTCGTGCCCTTTGGCTGTCGGGGATGTTGCGGTCTTCTGCGGCGGCGGATGAACTCCTCGTTGTCGCGTTATAATGAACCTAAGATTCTTCATAGGGCACCTTTGGTTTGTCTGCTGTTGTTTGGCAGCTACGGAAATGTTCTCTCCCTAATTAGGCTCAGCAGCAAAAAGACGTTTCCCCCACATGACTTGCCAATTATCTCACATTCGGAGCAAAATGTGTGTGTATTTGTGTGTCTGCTTAAGAGAGTTCCATCTGTCCTCCACTTTGCGACAGAGTTCCATATCACTCGGTCTAAATAAAAACATGGATTGAATGGAAATTGCATTTCAGTCACTACTCGGCTATATTAAGACCTTTTGGCTGCGTTAATCAGTGAACTGCTCATTTAAATTGCAGATGACGCCGTCGCTCCGTCTGCTTTAACAGAGCGAGGTCTCATTATATTTGACTTCGCAGGGAGACGTGCGCACACACCCAGGTGCTGTGAACGTGTACACTCACACGTCACAAAGCCCGCGATGCACGGTGCACATCGCCGCCGCTTGTGTGAAGTCGGCGCTTCGTGTCGAGGCCCCCGACTTCGGCTTTCACCCGAGAGGACCCAAAAGCCTTTTCCAGGCGTTAGGAGGGAAGATGGTACCAGAACACGATGATGCACGATGACGCGCGGCGATGCAAGGATGAGAAACGCTGCCACGTGCGCATTGATTTGGGTGCAGCATTCTCTGCTGGGTAAACAGTTTACGTGGCGAAACACGCAACTTCGATATCGTGGGCAACGGGTCGACAAACCTGGCGGTTGCTATGGTAACACCGAATACCAATGAGGTACAACTCAAACAATCGTCCCGGACATATGATATGACTTGTGATATTAAACGTTGTATACACATTATACAAGTACTGTATTATTATAAGAGCACACAACTAATGGCTGTCTGTCTCTAGTAGAGAGACAGAAGGGACCAAGTCTCCGTCCTCGCTGCCAAATACGTTCTTTTGAAATGTGATTCCATCAGACTGCTGACGTGGTCTACAGCGCGGTGTGGTCAGGAGCTGCTGCTGATCCCTTCTCCTTTTAACAGGAACCTTGATTGATGTCTGTTCCACCCAACACGTCTCCTGCTGGGCTTCTGGTCGCTGGATTTCTCTGGATTTGCATCATGCTTTGTAAAATTTGCACATCTTTCCGGTCAAATATCACTGTAAAAAGAACAAAAAACACCCAAGTATAGACAGAGACTCCCCCTCACTCCTCCCAACGCATGCACACACACACACACACACACAGTCAACACGACAGGATTGCTGGTGTTTGCCTTGTTAGGGAGGAGGAATGAGCTGAGATAAGGAGCTGTGATCCTCCTGTTTGTTTGTGTCTCTATCACAGCAGCCTGACAGCAGTCAGACCCTTCAAACAAAGACAGATGGCTTCCGGGGAAGTCAGGAAGAGTCGTTCTCCCTCTCTTTCCCTTATCCCTCCATCCATCCATATCCATATCCACGCCTCTTCCTGTCTACCAGAGAATTCTCTGCAGATTAAATCAGCGACAACTTTATTCCAATCGGTGCACTTTTGCATCACAGCACCAAACCAGAAGAAGGTTCTATTTCTATTTTAAGACGAGATCCCTTCATTTCATGTGCAAAGAGTTAGGCAATTGCATTAACATGTGTTTATTAACACACATCACTTATGTATTAATGACTGAAACATTTGATATTGTCAAACATTTGTCAAATCAAGAACATTTGCTGATATTTTTCCATTACAAAGCGCATTTCTGGTTTCAGTTTGTGTTTTTCACATCATCTTTACAATTTATTTTATATATGATTTACCAAATGAATTGCTAATATCCAAAAGTTTGGCAACATCAGAACGTCATTGCTTAGTGGTGCATGAAATAACGATGAACCAGATTTAGCGTCTGTGTGTTTTAAGACAGCTCTCATGGGTAAACTCTTATGGATGTTTAACAAACACTTTGAGCAATTATTAACCAGTCGGCCTTCTTTTTGCCCTGCAGATATTGGACAACCCGTTTGATTTTCTGCTCTTGTTCCATTACTCTCTGTCATGGGAGACGGTGCCGCATGGAGTAGACAGGGTGCGCTGGGAACCACAAGGTTGGTGGTTCAAATCCCAGCTGAGCAAGACACTTAATTGCTCCCTGGGTGTAATGTAAAGCCAGCTAATTCACATGTAATGTAATAAGCAATCGCATAAAAATAACGTTCCCTCAATGCAGAGACGTCGACATCCAACGCTTTTTACAAAAAGTGTAAATCAGGGAAACCACGAGAGATACTTTGAGCATTGAGTCATAAAACAACAAGTCCAGCAGATGAGAGAGCAGACATACGCACTAAATAAACTTACGCACTTAGCGGCTCATCCAGCAGGCTGAGAAGAAACAAATTCCCCAGCTGACGAACCCCCTCTGAAAGCAAAAGGTTCAACTCAAAACACGAGCTGTTTTTCGATCAAGGCTTTTTTTTCCCCCCCTCCTCTCCTAGAAAGATGTGATTCATGAGGGTTCCACCTGACGGCAAAATGTTTTATTTGATGTGAGAGCACATGCATACGTATGAAAACACTCAGATGTGCTGAACTACCAATGCACGTGAACGCACACACGCACGCACACACACACACACACACACACACACACACACACACACACGCACACCACATTTCAAAATCCAATTAAGCCGGGGCTGTGGGATCTCAGCCCTACATGCCAAATGGCTTTGAGTGTCTGCACGTCATCCACGGAGCGAGACAGCTGACAACAAGATTATGGCCGTGAGCGGTGCATTTGTGCTCGGGCCCAATGATAGCATATTATTAGCAGGGCGGAAGAGACCGAATGCGTGTCCTCCGCCATGCGGCGGCTTGTGTCGTTTGATCCGTGCAAGGAACAATGTCGACGGGCTTCCTCTTTTTCTGCACCGTCGACGTGTGAGTGATTTGTTTGTTTGTGCGGTTTGTGCACGAATGAGCAGGCCTGCCTGTGTGCGCCTGTAGAGCTGTGACTGCAGGTGTAATAACGATAATCAGATATAAACCAACACTTCTTTTATGCTGCAGGAAATTACATGGAGCTTAGTTGTCGCACATATTTTCCATCGCAATCGATTAGTCCATAAGATAAGGCCGACCTTTAAGTATTAAGCTCATTGTTTCAAGCTTCCAGCATCGAGTCGAGGCACTGAAAATAGAGGATTGTTGGTGGAGAGCCGGCCTCCGGTGACCCGGAGCGACCGTCACATCCGAGGAGCTGCAGCGCGCCTGCTTGTTGTTCGCGGGGCTTGATTTGATTTCAAAAGCATCACATGAACGGCGAGCCAGCATTGAGATCCCAGATGCTGTGTTTCTGCTGATATTCGTTGCGGAATTCGGTTCGTTGCCAAAATCTCGACCATTTATTTTGGAAGCAATCAGTCTTCAGCATTATGTTGCCGCCATTTTTATTTACTCGCTCTTGGGCCGGATTTCAGTCTGACGGGTCTCCTGATGATTCAGTGGAGGGTTTCCTAACCGGGGGGGTCTGTGCAGTCACACCTCCGCTGAGCTGCAGGAAAAAAGATTCCGGACTGTTTATATGAGGGAAAAAACTGCATCCCAGCATGTTTTCATTTCATATGTCCTTTACATTGGGCTAAGCAACCACATGTGTTTAAAAAGTTTAAAATATACCCATTACATAATATATCTGAGCAGCGCGTGCTGCACAAACCTCACCTCTCGTGACTTTTAAAACAAAGTGCTCCAGTCTGGGTGGAGGAGGTCGCTTCAAGTAAACTTCTTCAGACGGAGCCTTGCTGGGGAACGAAGTATCTCGTGTGCAGGAAAAGAAAAGAAGAGGGAAAAACTGAACAATGGGAGCATAAAAGTAGGCGACGAGGGAATGCCCTTAAAACCTGAGTGTGTGTGTGTGTGTGTGTGTGTGTGTGTGTGTGTGTGCGCTTGCACCGTAGCTTCTCCCTTGTGGAGTCACTTTGTAGTTTCTTTCATTGTATTTTTTTTTTTTTTATCCCTCCATAGGAGCACTCACATTGCCAATTAGCTGACAGTTGTTTTATTATTCTTTTTCAGAATCTCAATCCTTAAAAGTGAAAAGGGAGAGAAGAGGGAGCTCAGCTTATCACTCCGGCAGCGCATCGCCGGAGCACCTCGCGCCCCGAGTGAGAAACCTCGGGAGGTTCACTCAGAATAGCTCCGTGATCAAAAGGCATGAAAATGACACGTTGTTTGCGCGGCTTCGGAGCGGCGTTTTTTTTGGGTGGGTGGCCAAATATTTGGAGCGTTGGCGGCGGGAAGCGCTGCGCAGTGTGGGAAGGTTTCATGAACAATCCCCGTTTCCTCCGTATGTGTTTACTCGGTCCGGCGTGAGTGCTTTTAACCAGACACAGAAAGTTATAACTGCATTAAGGCCCCTTTTCTCACAACGCGTGCGCTTTCAGTGAAGTGAACAACAGTCATATTAGAACAAAGCGGAGGACGCCATGTTTTAGTGGTGCAGATGTTTGCCCATCATACTTTCTCTTAGCTTCTTTAGGTTGCTGTGTTTTATTTCAGACGAGGATCAGTGAACACGCAGTTTTGGTGACTAATTGTCTGTTTTTGGTTTAGTCTTTTGACTTCATATATCACCCATTTATATACTCTCCGTTAAACACTATGCTTCAAAGGACATTTTAAATCTATCCGTCTCCATCTACATTTCTTATTTTGTCGTCTACATTAGCTGGATTTCTGACCGACTCCCACGGCTTTAACCCCCCGTAATGACCCCCGTCGACCTTCCTCCTCCTTCCTACCAGCCAGCACGCTATCTGTGTTGATATCGGCTCGGGTGGCTGATGTGGCCGACACAGCAATGACCTAAAAGCGTTGTGTGGTAAACATCGGTTAAGCCGGGTCGCTGTTTACTGTCCTGATCCCATCAAAGGTCCCTCGGCCTCCAGTTTATTACATTAAGTTTAAACTTTAAATTGGACTTAATGTAATGTCTTCATTTCATTTGCCATCGGTGTGTGAATCTAACAGGTATTAAGCAACAAAGGTTTTCATATTGGTTCAGTTGCTTGATCAATATGCATCACATCACGTGTATTAAAACGGCGAGCGGCACGAGAAAGGAGAGCGGAGGAACAACGGGCCGCGTCTCAAGCGACGCCTCCGGGCCGATCGGCTCCTCGGCGAAGGCCGTGGTCGTGGAGGAGAAGCGTCGCTCGGGGGGGATTCGCGTATTTCCACCCTGTCTCTACGCTGCCGGGGCTTATTTGCAGGGCGAATCTTGTTGATTTGAGTTCCTATTACTTTGCAATTATTTAAACTTTTCAACAACGAGCCCAACTCCAGCGGCCGCGAGTTGGCTTGTAATTGGATTTTGAGAGCGATGTGCTTTTGTGTGATTGTGTGCGTCGGTGAATTCGGAGTCGTGACAGTTCACATCTGTCTCTCCCCCTCTATCTCTCCCTCGCACACCCTCCCCCAAACACACACTCCCACGGCGCCTGTGTGTGTCCATGAACACAGGCGGTCCATCCTTGTGTGTGTACGTGCGATGTGTACGTCTGAAGAGGTGAGATAGATATATATGTTTTTGTGTGTGTGTGTGTGTGTGTGTGTGTGTGTATATTCAGGGCACATTGTCTGGACAGGGAAAATGAGAATGGATGGGATTGTAATTACTGAATGGAGATATCCACACAGTGTGAAATTAGAAAAGGCTGGGCGAAAACCTCCCACGGGTGCAGCCGGTAAAGAGAGACTAGTTGTCATGGTGATAGGTGAATTCAAACAGGGCTCCTCAAACCTTCAGGGGAAAGAGGTGTGAGTCTTTTCCCTCCATGCACGCGTGTGGATGTGTAAGGCGCTGCACGTTTGGGGGTTTGTTTATGGGTCGTTTGGGGGGGTTTTTTGTGTGAAAGAGGAGCGAAAAGTTGCCGTGACCTCGATACAGATTCACGAGGTGTTTTCAATGTTTCTATTGAAAGTGGAAGTGGAGGAGTTAGTCCCACGGCCGTCGTCTTGGGCGGCGTTCGTGTCAAAATCGGTCAGTTAGAGTAACTCACTCAACTCTGAGTGGAAAATCCAGATAAACCCGTTTATGCTGCCGTGTTGTCACTTCACATTTACATCTTTAAATATTGTCCTAAACATTAGAAGTGACCTAACTAACAAGTAACTGACTGACCTTTGACCCTCTGACTTTTCCTTCAGCGCCACTGGGGAATTGACACTTTCGACACAGGACTCAGGATAAAGTTTTCTTCCTTTGGTTCCGTGCGTTACGCACTTCATGCCTTCATAAAGAAGTTGTGTTTGCCCGTCTAAACGTCTCCTCCTCGCCGCCAGTGAAGTCGACAGGCTGCTGGAGGCCCGATAGAGACACAGGCGGTCTCGGGTCGCCGGCGAGCTAGAATCCGGCCAACGCGGCCGCGGCGGCATCTTGGAGCTGATCCCAGCGTGGGATGCACTTGGCCGTGAGCCACATATTCCACCCGCGCGCCATGACCGCATTACGTAACCACCAGCCCCAGACGGGGGGGGCGGGCGGGGGGGTGGATTCCTTTCTCAGAGTTCAAAGTGCGCTGTGAAGAGATAATGGCCTCCTTTTATGAGTGGGCCATAGTAATGAGCTTGTTCATCACCTAGAAGGAGAGGGTGAGTGGGGGTTCAGAGGGGGAGGGGGGGGGCTGAGGAATGCCCATCCATCAGGTGGCTGGAGCCCCCGGCCCCCCTCAGACCCACAGACCTCTTCATCACTGTCTGTGCACACAGGGAGTGGAGAAGCGCTCCGGCTCTCAGCAGAAGGGAGAGTGAACCCCAAATGGAGGCTGCGGCTCCACAATGCAACATGTCGGGTGATGTTTCCCCCCACAGAAGACACCCAGCAGAAGTTATGACATGAGATAGATGGAGGATATCAACCATCCGACTTAAACACCAACGAACATTAAACATCACTTTCTTGTGACTTCAAATTTAAATGCAATTTTACATTCTGAAAAGGGGAATTTCATCAAGTTTGGAGGTGAGATATGAAATGGGGTCAGCATGGAGAGCGCAGGTCCAAATAACCATAAAAAAAACTGTAAACTGAGACGGAGCAGCACCTTTATGAGTTTGCCATTTATGTATTTGGACTACAGAATATTATACTATATAATTACCTGTAACAAGACTCCATTACCAATGAATGATGAATATCATTTTGTGAAATTGGAGCCCTGGAAATGGTGTTTGTTCTGTTGGTCTAGAAGCCTGTTTTTTTCACAGAGCTGGATATGGTTGCCGGGCAGAAAATTTGGGGCCTCGTTCCATCTGGCATGTCTGCTCGTAGGTACTGAGAGCCGTGGCTCGGGGGCACTGAAGCAGCGCGGATGCCGGCTCTCGGTCGGGGGGCTCCGTTCGATGGGAAGTCCCCGAGAGAAGCGACAAAGCGAACGTGGCTCATGTGGCTGCGTGGTGAAGCGTCCATTTCTGTCTCTCGGTGAATCGGGAATCGTCCCGGCAAGTCGAAATATCAGTCTGAACCTGTTGATCTGTCTTCTTCTCTTCCATGACAATGTTCTCCACGTTGAAATTTAATCAAGTGTTCTTTTGATTAACGAACAGGGACCTTGTTTACGGAAGGAGCACCGTTCGCCTCCATGGCATCGGGCCTGGGAGAGACCACACCGCCAATAAATTAAATCCAAACAGACAGACACATTTGAGGTTATATTAACGCTGATTACAATCTCGAGATTGTTGAATTCGTTTAGAGTCGCGGGACAGAACATCAACTAAATGGAAACGGAACCTTATAAACCACTGGTGACCAAACAAAATGCCCACTGTTGTACTGGTGTAATCCATAAAACTGGCAGGATTCACCTGCAAAAGCGTCCGCAGAGGTTCCCAGGTGACAGACTACCATCCACATGCGGGGTCGCTGACCTCCACTTTCGTTCTGGTTTAACAAGCAACACCCTGCGGGCCTGCAGAGGAGGACATGCGAGCTGCGTGGGGGGCGGGGGGGTGTAGAGCATGTGGTGAGACCTTGCTGCGGGGAAGATCTCGTTCTCCTGGTCGACCTTGAATGTTCTCGTTTGTTTCACAGCATTTGAATGCTTTCTCCGAGTGCTAAAGCTGCGACCGGGTCAGTCATTCCGCTGGATCCCGGTGGAGCCGCCCCACAACCACCGCAGGCTATTCACGTTGTGTTTATTATGTATTTACATTCCAGGTTCTGGGAAACGCAATACATAAATGCACAAGTTGGTAATTCCTACCCTGTAATGCATAAGGTTGCGCTCCGAAATAAAATCGTTCTTGACTTAGTAATGTTTACTTATTTTGAGCAAAGAATTATGAATTATGAATTTGAATTAATATAAGATTGTAGCTGCAGGACTTTGCATATATGCAATGTGTGTTTCCTGTCTCTCACCAAGCTGTGAGTAAAACTATTAGTCAGATGGTTCTTAAAATAAAAAGTTTAGCAATACTCCAGTGACAAACATCCCTCTCTGACCTTTAGCGCAGGGTGTGCACTTGTCAAACATCCCAAAATGCCCCCAGATTCCAGTTCTCCGTATGGGAAATGATCCACTTTTACACCTCATTGCGTGAAGCCAGAGCACCAGGCCTGCTTCTAATTGGGAACACAGTGGGGAGTCTGATAGCTATCGGGGGGGAAAATAAGGCCGGTTTGAATCTGTCACGGTCATGCATATTTAATTGATATAAATGTCCTTATTGTGTCCACGCTAAATTGACAATGCCGCACTACCAATCGAGATTGTCCCCCAAATTCCACAATGCTTCAAACCCACTGCCTGCGAGACCCCCCCCCCCCCGCCCCTCCCACCATTCTTATTAATTTCCTTTCTTTACTGGTCTTTTTATTGTATAGCCCAGTTTTTAGTTCTGGCAATTTGAATGAAAACACCAATGAGTATATCCAGAGTGCTTAAGTTATTCCGGGGCTTTGGGGCACGGAGCGTGGCGGGCTCAGTGCGGCGGCGTCAAAGCCGAAGCACTTTGTGCCTGCAATCGGAGATGAAGAGGCCATTTGTCTGTGTAGTGTGCGCAGCGCTTATCAGGGATTTGTTTTGCGGCACAACTTAATTTGCATAAATTTCCTGGAGAGTAAGACGAGAACTTGCCTCTCTTGGCTGGAGCCGGAGGAACAGATTGTCCCCACAATGCACATTCCACCAAACGGCTCACGCCGGCGCTCTTTTGTCGAGTTTGGGATGAGCTTTTTCCATCATCCTGATAAAAAATATCCAGACGAATAAGCCGAATATTCTGATATTTGCAGGATTTTTACATATCGTAAGTATCCCAGATGCTTCAGCAGAGGGGTTTGGATCATGGGATGACTTTATTTAAAGGATAATTCCAGTTCAGTACAAGTTAATAGCTTTGGCTTTCAGTTCTAGTCTATGTTTTTTATTTTTCAACAAATATCACGACAAAATGACATGAATGCGTCTGTTTTTCAATAAAATCTACGAGACTTCAGCTCACTACTTTTTCACAATGTCACCTTGATGAAACTATGAAATTATTTTGGTACCGGAGAACCAAAATAAAACATTTCTGAGCATTTATCCCATTGACCGCCATGACGGTTACCTGATGAGACATTATTACCATACAAGGTTCGCATGTTATTCTGAAGCCAACCAAACTCTGATAAATCACATCAATGTGCCGCGTTCCTTCATCGCACACATACACACTGTATGTAGTTTGTTTCTACTACATCCAAACACCGGATTAGTCCACCGCTGAAAATAGTTCCCATCCGGGTGTCCCGCTGCTTCGGGAAGCGCTTCAAAAGTACGGAGAGACGAACTAAATCGTCGCTGGATTTGATGTTTGTTGAAAATACGAGCAATTATTTTTCTACATAAATGTTTTTGAAAATACTTTTTTTTTTACTACGTTTTCTGCCTTTTAGCTGTTGACTTCCTGCCAGTGAAGTTCAGAAATGTAGTTGACGCTGACCTTTGACCTGATGATTCCTCCTTTGGGAATCTACTGAATGTCCCATAAACAGAGACTTCCTGGCTGATTGTGTCGTGGCGCTGCGGGGGACAAAAAAGGAAACACGTGGAGATCCAATAAATTCTTTTTATCGATTTTCCAATAAAAAATACATTCATACAGAAACTATTTTACAAAACAATTTCAAATGAAAAAATCTTGTTATGCCATAAAACAAACAAAAATAGAGCCTCGTATTCTCATCTCCGTGGTTATCCGATAAAGATTCTCAAGCTAAAGAGTCTTTAAAAAGTTGAGAAAAAGATCACATGGCAAAAAAAAACAAAAAACATAACACTTAGCGAGCAACAGAATGCAGAATTATAACAATTCAAGTGTCCAGAACAATTCACATCTGAAAAGTCTTTTTTTTGTCTTGTTTTGCGTTTTCTTGAAAGATGACAGGCCACAGGTGTTTTTACGCAAACGATGCCCTTTTCTTTCTTCTTTTTAAACGTACATTTGCTTCACCGTCCAATCAAAAGCTGATCAAGAACAAAGGTGTTAAGAGAAGCGAATGAGGGGGGGAAGGAGTGAGTCATTTTTACAATAATTCTTCAGGCTCTCGTCTTTACTGCTCTCGAAACAACACACTGCGCTCGTTTTTTTTGGTCCCATACCCTTTCAAAATAGAAGCTTCCTTACAAAATTCTCTTAGTTTACAATGTACATGTCTTTGCATTCTTGGTATTCTCAGTGTATGGACTTTCTTTAACGCTGCCCACGTTCACCTGCACAGATCAACGGACGATCGACCCCTTAAAACCGGCCGTACCTTTCATAGCCGATCGGGATCTTTGTCAACACTTTCATGAGCCTTTCAATTTCAAACAAAAGTCAAAGCTCATCTAATTGTGAATTTAAAAAAAAAAAAAAAACCTCTCAAAAAGTCCAGGGAGGAGCGCGTCGAAGTCGAGGAACTCAAGTTAAAACGCGGATGTGGTGAAGGTGTTACGGACAAACGTGTCTCCTCTCAGGTCGGACGAGGACAGAAACCTCCTGACCTGCAGCACGAGTCCCAGCTGAACCGGTCGGGCGGTTTTCTTTTTCGTACCGCTTGTTCAGATCACGGGTTGTTTCAACCACACCGATTGGCCCGAGGGGCGAGACTCTCCAAAAACACACAACATCAAAACACACTCGCGATGGAGAAAGTCGTCATCGCTTCGGCGGGACTCCTTTCCTTTAGAGACTTTTTCGACACATGAACGGCGACGTGGAAACACCTTCTTTGCGGTTAAAATCCTAATCTGTCACAGCCTCGGTGGCCGGGCCGGCCACGTTTTCATGAGAACATATTTCCAAAACTCTGTACCCTTGACGGCGAGTATCCTCGCCAATTTGTACTACACAGTAGTAACTCTTTACAAAACTGAGTTGCTTTTTCGAGTGCTCCAAGATTCTGTCCGGGACCTGGATCCTTTTTTGGGGTGAATTATTTAGTCTAGATAATAGTTATAACGATATGTTCAACAGAGAAATTGCCAGTCATTATCAAGATGATGTTTAGCCGTTTTCTGTATTGTTATTAGTTAGGAGGAATCGGTTGCCAGACAAAAGGGGCGAAGGTGCGACTGCACGGAACAGAGCCTTTTTAAAAAAAAAGCAATTCAATAACCGCAACCCGCAGATGTGTGTGTGTGTGTGTGAGAAAGAGATCTATCTTACAGGACAAGGCCACTTACATAAGGCATCAGTAAGGTCAACAGTGCATTTACAGGTAGAACAAAAGACAAGAGCAAAAGTGAAGAAACAAATCCCACAATCAAGAAAGTTGCCAAGCAACAGTGGTATTCCCAACTTATCAAGAACAAAAGAAAATGACTGCCTTATGTTTTACGCAAATATACTATGATATCGAGTATTATGAACGTAGCTGCTCTCAAATGGGATTTTGTCGTCCCACAAGCAAACGGGTGAGCAACACATCCCCAGATCCCATGCGAGTCCTGTTATAATGGCATAACTGTTTTGTGTACAACCGTTTTTTTTTTTTGTAATTTCGTTTTTTAGGATACAAAGTTTACACAATGGACAACAAAATGAGCTTAATAGCGTGTATGCTTTTAAGACAGGCTACGTAATACATTGCACTTTTAATAGCTGCACTAAACTAAACGACCTCCCGTGTTTTTTGGAAAAAATCAAAAGGGGGGGGTGGAGGGGTGGCCGCAGTTTTGTCGCCTCCGGGCAGAAAGGGGGCGCTCTTCTCTCTGCTGGCACGGTGTTGTTGTTGTTGTTGTTTGCATTCATTGTCAGTGAGACCACGGGTACCCCCCCCCCAAAAAAAAATCTCCCTCCCCCTTTTCTAACATCCGTGTCATTCACCCGCTGTTCCACAATGCAAGCTCCATCCGCTCCATGAAAGCCGGCACAGGCGTCCAGTCTCAGGCACTCACAGACCCCCCCCCCCGTCCTCCCCCCCCCCCATGCGTACAGGCAAACACACGTCGGTGGAGGAGCGGATCCCCCGCACGAGTCCCATAATCCTCCAGGAAAAAAGCGTTCACCATACAGAAGAGTCTCTTTCCGTCTACTCCAGCCCGGTCCCCCCCAAACTCCCCCCCCTTTATTTATTTATTTATATTTTATCCCCCCCGGACCCCCCGCCCCCACCCACCCAATCATCCGTAAAAGCCTTTCAAGAGCCATCTCCACAGCGAGGTGTTGGAGGCACTAAGTATGGTGCAAATAATAGCCTGCGTTTGCTTCATCTTTTTTCCATCGACCGGCGGTGCCCCCCCCCCCCCCCCCCACCCACCCGTTAACGCTCCCGGGACGCACCGGCCTCGCTGATCCCCCCCCTCCCGGCACGGGTCGGGACAAATCAACCAGAATCATCCCTCCGAGGTCTCCGCGCCGAGGCCATCTTAGATGTGCCTCTTCATGTGCAGCGCCAGGTGGTCAGAGCGGGAGAAACACCTGAGAGGGGCAGACGGAGAGCAGGGTTAAGATCGTCTTGTCACAGACCACAGTGAATAAAGGCATGAGGACGTCCCATGCCGGCTCTTTTCGTTCTACACAAAGTCTCTTCTTGTATCGTGGGGGTTTTGTACTTGTTGTTACCGAAGGTTCAAAAATGTCAGATGAAAACGGAAGAAAATAAAAGTGGGCTGTAAAAAGCAGAAGTGAATATACCGTTTATCCTCACGCGTCACTGCCTGCCATCAGGAATCAATAATCAGTGCATTCAGGGTCTTTTTTCCTCACAACATACTTTGCTAGCTTTGGCGGCACAGGATTCACTTTGAGCTGGTTTGCTAGCTGGTTTGTTAGCTACCTGGCTAGCAAACCAGCATTGGAAAAACACATCAAAAACAT